TTGTTAAGTGGAAACTGTAAAAAAACAAAGTTATGAATTTTCTTTGTACCTTTCTTTTAATATCAATATCTTTTCGGAGAATTAATTGATTAATCATTTGGCTTATCTTTGAAAATCTTATTTGGGGATCGCTTAAAGCGCACTGATATGATTAGAAACGGATTTTGCGATATAATTCTTCAAAAAATGATAAAAACGTTGCACTGTTTCATAAATTTATTAAAAAAGAAAACTCTTGAACACTATTTCGGGTAGGAGGTTATTCTAAAAGAATTATTACCTACTTAAGAATGAATAAAGTGATTGAAATAGTTCAAAATCATGACATAGTATTTGTATAGACATATATTAATACAAATGTAATGATTTGATAATTGCCCTGGTATTGAATGATATTAAAATTACTGCACGTTCTTTGAATAAATATGTTGCCTTGCAGTTGTTTTGCTTATAACGTACACATCTTTATACCGGATTCCTTGGCACAAAGTACGTCATCAACAGAAATTCAGCTCGGCCATGCGCGCAACTAGAAGCTGGTTATTGTATGTTTCGTGTATATCGTCGAACAAGTCTAGATAGTGTTCCTTCCATCTGCTTTATCGTTCTTTATACAGTCGTAAAGCAACGTATATCGGTGAATTTGCCTTGTTTAAAAACTAAACGAACGTAAATTTTTGTCGTGGTGTTATTGCGAAAAACGAATCCTCCAAATTTTCTAAAATTCGTCGCACAATCGAAGTGGAAATCTTTGCGTTGCGGGTTGGCGGTAAAATTTGAAACGCACGGCATTCGTTACTATTATTAACATTTTCATGTTTGGACATAAGCACGTATGTGATCTTTCGTGACTCACACTGTTAATGGAAAAAACTACAGTGGTTGTGATTTCAAGGGAAAAGTACAACCAACCACAACAAGGTTTGTTAAGAATATTAACACAATGAACAGATAACAATAATAAATTAACTACTACACATTTAGTTCTACTGTTTAACTTTTCATTTTCACATTCCTATTTAGCTAAAAAAATTCCTCCAGCAATTCCTTGAACGACATGCCTTCCCTTATACTAATACTTTTAACGGATAGCCATCTCCAGGGGGTGAAGTCAATGATTTTACCCTAGAAAAATATATTCCTCTTCGCATTTATCTTCCTTTTTACATTTTCAATGTACTTTCTAATCCCAACCGCGGTAAAAAAGGCATTGTACAGGTACAACCATTTTAATTGATCTAATTCTATTGGTTTATTTTACAGCTTAGAAGTTCGTACGAAAGGTAATTTCTTATTGGGTTGGTATAACGTAGAAAACTTTCTAACTGTACAGTTGAAACTTCTCTCACATTCAAATTTAATCGTGAGCGTGTAGCAAGCAGTCTCCTAGTTGTTAAAAATGTTCGGCAACTGAGTTACAAACGTTTTACTTTACATACTTTTCAAAGTTGAATGGAAAGTAGGTCTGTTTGTAGGAAATACTACACGTTCTCCATTGCAATTTTTATCCTTGTACTGTCTTTAATAATACACAAATACTAAAAACAGTAGATATTTATTTTAGTCAGGGTGACTCTAAAGCGTCTGCTCTTAAATTTAATCGCAAATCTTAAAGGAAAACTTAACGGAAAACTGTACCTACTCCCTTAATTTTCTTTGCTTACTTTTATTGTTTGTAATTGCAATACGCTTTCGTTTAAAACATTTTATACTAACAGTAAAACGAAAGAATTTTTTGAGTATTTCATAAAAATTTTATGTAATCCGTTTAAGTAGATACGTAATTAAAATATTATCGATTTAATAAAAAATTTAGTTTCAAAACAATAGTTAGCCACTTATCCACTTCCTAAAGAAGTAACTTAATTTTTTTATTCCTTTAATATGGTGTAAACCCTCTACAGTGAAAAGCTCCTTATAACGTATTCACCGCTGGAGATTGCAATTAGTTGCTTTGCTTTACAGGCCATAAATGTAGTGATTAACTCTTTGTAATGAAAAAATAGTACGCCATCACTTATTCTACGTGATACATTCGTAATCACTTGATCCCAGCTTGAGCCTTACATTTTACCATTTGAACCGCCAGTTTCTTTATTATTTAATCGTTCTGGGTACTGTCTTATTCCATTCTGTCGGAATATGTCTGAAAAGTTCGCAAATAAGTAAAGCTTTTTTATTCTATAATATNATTGTATTAATTTTAAGATCTTTGAACATCAGACATTTCCAAAAAAGGAACATAATTTCATTAGTTGAGCTAATCTCTCTGAGACAGCCACGAAAATCCTAAATCTCCAAAATCGCTTAGCAACTGCGCAGAGTTGAATGTCGTCATTTCCATCTACAGTTTACACTTCCGTTGCAATGTCATCGAATTGAGTTCAATAATAAGTACGGAATATGGTAATGGATAATGGTAGTTGATAGCTGATACATGTTGTTGGGGATTGCATCATGTGCTTAAAAGGATATCTTTTAAAATTTCTGTTTTACAAAAATACTGTTGATGCCAACTCGCCTTTCTCAGTTAAATTTTCGCTTTCTCAAGAAGGTAGGAGTGGGTGCTCGTGATTACGTAGTATATGTGCACCTACAGGTAGGTACCCATCAAGATACTCACGAACCTAACATAGAGGCAAACATGTACAATAACAAACTGGTTTTGTCTACCACAGCAATCGACAGACAACGATGTTGCAAACAGCAAAAGTAGCCGACCATTATTAGACCTTCTCTGGAAATTTTGCAATGTAATTATTTATTGTTATAGATTTCAAGGACCCTTGTCTTGCACTTACGTTTATAAGAGAAACTAGTTTTACTAAAATACACATTTAAACAAAGAACTTAATATTTATTCGAAAGGTAGGTCGAAACATCAACCGATTTATTTTTTTTTGTATTAGAATCAGCTCTCTATCAGAGTTAAGCATTTGCAGACACCTTGGAAAACAAAGGATTAACTCCAATTTTTGTATATCGCATGAGCGTGTATTCCTGAAGATCCTGACGTAGGTTGTTACTAGAATGCTTCCTGTGTCCTCTGTGGGGGCAGCCAACTCGGACATTTGTCCGGGCCGCCAAAATTTGCCAGTGGTGTTTTGGCGTAAGTGAAAAGATATTTATATCTCCAACAGCTAAATATATTTACAATTCTTGGTTTGATATTTACTGAAAATAAAAAAAATAAAAAGTAGATAGCTAGCTACATATGAATTTTACAAACCAAACATTTTTATTCTTTTCGCTTTTCTGCTATTTTCTTGTCCTTTTTAAACCATCCTTTCCTTCCATTTGAATTTGAAGTAGAAGTTTGGCAGGAGGGAAGGAGATACACGGTTAATGGTTCATATCTCATTAAATACCACCCCCACTAACGTCCCAAACTACATTCAGTCCCATTCCAAATTGTTCAATTACCAAACCAATGAAATTTTAATTCTTAGTTGGCGGATTATCAACGAAAGGTTTGAGTTGAAACTGTTGAAACGAGGTTTCAATGTTTATGAACACTAAATGTCTGTAAGGTGGCAAAATCATACTAATAAGTTATTGATAATCAAAACCTCATAACCTGATATAGCAAAAATTGTAACATGCTAAAGTTTTCTTGGTCACAAGAAAAAGTGAACACAAGAATTATATCGAAATCACAAATAATTTAGAGTAGCAATCAATAATATAAATTCAGACAAAGTACCTATCCCAGTACAAACTCTATTAGGTAGATTTTTCCTTTTTTCTCTGGGAGAATTATCCGGCACTGCCGGGTACGCGTACTCGGCGTCATTATCCGCTACCCGGTCGCATTCTGAAAAACCTGCAGGATCCGCCGGATACCGCATCCAAACTGGATACCCAGCTCGTCCCTAATTCGTATTATAACGTATTAATTTCTTTCTTTTTTCCGTAATTAAAATTATCATTAGTGATGCTTACATTAACTTCGGTATATACGTACATTTTGGAAGTATAAACATTAAAATTTTCCGTGACGCCATACAGCTAACAATTCCATGAAACTGAATCCCTGTCTTGTACTCGAGCGCGCGGTACTAATTTCTAATCGTACCCGGTATAATACAATAATAGCCCAAACGTTGATGTGTTTTAACTTTATAATAAGTTCAGTTTTGTCATGATACCAGTGTGGGTATACGTATTACGTATTTTGTACGTCTGCATGACTATAACGCTTTGCGTAATGTCATTGACTTTAAATAATGTACAGAAATACTTTAATTAATAATCCTCTATTTCCTTTATCCGAATCTTTAGACTGGTGTAAGCCCAATGAATACACATATTGATTAAAAATACAATTCGTCTTTTGTTCTCTTCACTAAATAATTATTATTTTTTAAGATTAATGATAACCAAAAAAGGACTGGCACTGAAGACGTAAATGTGCAAATATATTAACGGACCTTGCAAAATAAACCGTAGAGTGAAATATTTATTTGTTAGTAGAACACTAAAATCCTAAATTCCATATAAACATCCTCAGTTACAAACATTTTGGGTATCCAACGCCTTTTAGGTTACTAAACGTTTCATAGTGTCATCTTCAGTGTAGAGAGTCTCTAATTGAGGATAACACTTTCGGTATCGAAACGCGTTTAGATTACGAAACGATTTATGTGAAATTTAGAGTGTTAATATATGTTCCACAAAACTCTCACTAATTTTATTATACTTCTTTGTTATTAACGTTGGATCTATTATAAGCTGCTCTCTTGAATTGTCATTACTCATACGCAATTAATAGACCTATACAAAACTCTATAAATAAACTATTTACACGTTAAGAAATTGCATTGGATGACGGTAATGTAGTAAAGTACCAGGAAGATGTAAAATAACCATTGTTTTCCCTGTTACCCTCTTGCTTAACGAAGTTTAATTTTTTTCTTCTTAAAAACCTAGAGGGCAAAATTACCTGTATTAATGGGNTTTATTATACTTCTTTGTTATTAACGTTGGATCTATTATAAGCTGCTCTCTTGAATTGTCATTACTCATACGCAATTAATAGACCTATACAAAGTCCTATGAATAGGCCCAAGTGCATTTGTTTTTTAAAAAGTACCTTTTTAGAAAATATGTTTAATGTTTCGTCTCTCTATATGTTACTAAATTATTTAGTTTCAAATCGCTGGGAACGTTAGATATTTCATGAAGAAAATATTTTTTGATATGTTGTTAGATACATATTAGTATACAATCTCCATGTTATTGTAATAATTGTATTAATTTTAAGATCTTTGAACATCAGACATTTCCAAAAAAGGAACATAATTTCATTAGTTGAGCTAATCTCTCTGAGACAGCCACGAAAATCCTAAATCTCCAAAATCGCTTAGCAACTGCGCAGAGTTGAATGTCGTCATTTCCATCTACAGTTTACACTTCCGTTGCAATGTCATCGAATTGAGTTCAATAATAAGTACGGAATATGGTAATGGATAATGGTAGTTGATAGCTGATACATGTTGTTGGGGATTGCATCATGTGCTTAAAAGGATATCTTTTAAAATTTCTGTTTTACAAAAATACTGTTGATGCCAACTCGCCTTTCTCAGTTAAATTTTCGCTTTCTCAAGAAGGTAGGAGTGGGTGCTCGTGATTACGTAGTATATGTGCACCTACAGGTAGGTACCCATCAAGATACTCACGAACCTAACATAGAGGCAAACATGTACAATAACAAACTGGTTTTGTCTACCACAGCAATCGACAGACAACGATGTTGCAAACAGCAAAAGTAGCCGACCATTATTAGACCTTCTCTGGAAATTTTGCAATGTAATTATTTATTGTTATAGATTTCAAGGACCCTTGTCTTGCACTTACGTTTATAAGAGAAACTAGTTTTACTAAAATACACATTTAAACAAAGAACTTAATATTTATTCGAAAGGTAGGTCGAAACATCAACCGATTTATTTTTTTTTGTATTAGAATCAGCTCTCTATCAGAGTTAAGCATTTGCAGACACCTTGGAAAACAAAGGATTAACTCCAATTTTTGTATATCGCATGAGCGTGTATTCCTGAAGATCCTGACGTAGGTTGTTACTAGAATGCTTCCTGTGTCCTCTGTGGGGGCAGCCAACTCGGACATTTGTCCGGGCCGCCAAAATTTGCCAGTGGTGTTTTGGCGTAAGTGAAAAGATATTTATATCTCCAACAGCTAAATATATTTACAATTCTTGGTTTGATATTTACTGAAAATAAAAAAAATAAAAAGTAGATAGCTAGCTACATATGAATTTTACAAACCAAACATTTTTATTCTTTTCGCTTTTCTGCTATTTTCTTGTCCTTTTTAAACCATCCTTTCCTTCCATTTGAATTTGAAGTAGAAGTTTGGCAGGAGGGAAGGAGATACACGGTTAATGGTTCATATCTCATTAAATACCACCCCCACTAACGTCCCAAACTACATTCAGTCCCATTCCAAATTGTTCAATTACCAAACCAATGAAATTTTAATTCTTAGTTGGCGGATTATCAACGAAAGGTTTGAGTTGAAACTGTTGAAACGAGGTTTCAATGTTTATGAACACTAAATGTCTGTAAGGTGGCAAAATCATACTAATAAGTTATTGATAATCAAAACCTCATAACCTGATATAGCAAAAATTGTAACATGCTAAAGTTTTCTTGGTCACAAGAAAAAGTGAACACAAGAATTATATCGAAATCACAAATAATTTAGAGTAGCAATCAATAATATAAATTCAGACAAAGTACCTATCCCAGTACAAACTCTATTAGGTAGATTTTTCCTTTTTTCTCTGGGAGAATTATCCGGCACTGCCGGGTACGCGTACTCGGCGTCATTATCCGCTACCCGGTCGCATTCTGAAAAACCTGCAGGATCCGCCGGATACCGCATCCAAACTGGATACCCAGCTCGTCCCTAATTCGTATTATAACGTATTAATTTCTTTCTTTTTTCCGTAATTAAAATTATCATTAGTGATGCTTACATTAACTTCGGTATATACGTACATTTTGGAAGTATAAACATTAAAATTTTCCGTGACGCCATACAGCTAACAATTCCATGAAACTGAATCCCTGTCTTGTACTCGAGCGCGCGGTACTAATTTCTAATCGTACCCGGTATAATACAATAATAGCCCAAACGTTGATGTGTTTTAACTTTATAATAAGTTCAGTTTTGTCATGATACCAGTGTGGGTATACGTATTACGTATTTTGTACGTCTGCATGACTATAACGCTTTGCGTAATGTCATTGACTTTAAATAATGTACAGAAATACTTTAATTAATAATCCTCTATTTCCTTTATCCGAATCTTTAGACTGGTGTGAGCCCCAATCAAGTCGAGAATTCGCTTATATTGAGTTATATTTAGGAATGTTTGTTTTTGGTAAAATGATGCACTTACTTCGTTATGAAATCCTTGAAAATTCTCGTTGTAACTATAAACGTTACTAAAATTGATTCAGGAATGCTCGAGTAGATATTCATTGCTGACGATTCAGCATGGCAACAAGTCACCTAGTTATTCTAATTCACGACTATTTCCGTATTTGTTGACAACGACGGCGTATGTACATTTTGATATCGGTATATGCAATTATTTCACTTTTCTCAAAACAAGAAAGTGCTTGCAAATACACGTTTATTGCAAATAAAAGTATTATTTATCTATAAATTATTGCACATGATTTACTATTACTTATTAACAGTACCTTTTTATGGATATGAAGACGTGGTGTATGGTTTTGACGTAATGCATACGATAAAAATATTGGTATTAACTCATTTTCAGTTGCTCAGGAAATTGCAATAAAAATCACACTTACTAGGACACCACTACTAAAGATATGTTGATTAATTGTTAATTTTTATTTTCAGAACCACAATGTTATCGGGAAGCACCTGCGAAAACTCGTTAAATGATCCTGATTCCTCACAATTCCACACTGAAGCATCAAACTGTGCAACCTCAATAATGGGTGCTGACTTTAGTAAAATTTTTAATGTTGCTGGTGTAAGCAATACTGATTCTACACAATCAAATGCAAACGTTAAAGAAGAGGAAAAAGGAGGAGACGAAACAGAAGAAGTAAAAGCTCTTTCTCCTGAGAGTGGTCAGTCTGATTTGAAGTTCTTAAGCAACTGTATTTCTGAAACGTTATTAAGCGAAGGAAGAACAGATGATTTTAATGATGGCGAAGATTCAGCCACGGAAAGTTTAGTAACACTTGAAGAAAATTCAGAAGAACCCCATGACCGTTCAGACGGGTCCGATTCCGGCATGGGCTCGGAAATATGCGAAGAAAAATCGGCGGAAACGAGAAATTCGGCTGGCACAGAAAGTGATTCCGAAAACTGCTTTCTAGACCATTCTGAAGAAGAACAGCAAGAAAATATTGAAGTAGTACCAGACGATGCAGACGACGGTATAAATTTATCTCTGCAGAACAACGCATTGTTTGCCAAGCCGAAGCCAATCTCAGACATTCCCGTACTCCTTAAAAGTAATCTGAAAAGAAAACTGTCTCAAGGCAGTGATGAGAGTCAACCGAAATGCAAAAAGAAAAAGGGAATAACATTTGATTCCGTTACGGTGTACTACTTCCCTAGAGCTCAAGGGTTTACTTGCGTGCCTTCTCAAGGAGGTTCGACTCTGGGAATGAGTTCTCAACATACTCACGTGCGCCGATTTTCAATTCTGGAACACGCCAACGAGCAACGAAGACTTCATCGACAACTCCTTCAACGGCTACGTTCTGAAAGAAATTCTACTTCTATAACGGGCACATCCAGCGACGAGAGCGAAAGCGAAGAAGACATCACAGACGGCTCCGATTCGGAAATGGACCTGGACAATTATTACTTCCTTCAACCCGTGCCCACGCGTCAAAGAAGGGCCCTCTTACGTGCCGCAGGTGTTAGGAAAATCGATTCGATGGAAAAAGATGAATGCCGTGACATCCGCACTTCTCGTGAGTTTTGCGGTTGCGGGTGTAAAGGATACTGTGATCCAGATACATGTTCTTGTAGTCAGGCGGGCATTAAATGTCAAGTCGATCGGCTCAACTTCCCGTGCGGCTGTTCCCGGGACAATTGCGGCAATTCTAGCGGTAGAATCGAATTTAATCCCGTAAGAGTTCGGACTCATTTCATCCACACTCTTATGAGACTAGAATTGGAAAAGAAACAGAAAGAGGCGGAACAAAATATGGAACGAGTAAACAAAAATCCAAATTTAGCATGGATGCAAAACGAGAGGCTTGCTGGATACGTGGAACAATCTGAAAGGGATCAAAACAACAAGTACAACGGGAATTTCATCAGAGACGTTAATTTAAATTCTAACATGGAAATGGAGTCTTGTGTGCATAATGGAAATTTTACTAATCTCCACTACGGAGCTCCAGGAGAAGGACCGGGGAATATACCGGCTCATAACTCGTCTTTTGCTGATCTCCCTGCACGCGAAGACTCGCTAGATTTGTACACTTTTAGAGAAGACTGCTACCACGATGTAGGAAAGGACACTACGTCTTTGGAACGAAAACAGCCATTTCCTTCTAGCCAAGGATTCCACTTTCCCGATCCTCGCTTTCCCGAAACTGGTTTTACATCGAGCGGTTCGTCTTACCCGACAACATCTAATCAGTATGCACAACCTTACCAATCCAATTTCCCCGAGTTTTCCCCTGTCTTCAGCCCATATGCAGGAATGTACACTCCAGAATTTGGAAATAAGTCTTTCGAAAATGGCTTTTTACAAAGCGGAAACCTCGAAAATTTCCCTTCGAACACGACAGACAATTTTTCTGCTAGCGTGGAACCTAAAGAAAACCAATACACTAGTTTAAGTCCCATGGGAACAAACAATAAAATAGAATCATTTTCCGATCTACTAAACGGACGATACAATTATTCAACATACGATGAGTCTAATAATTATGCCGTATTGGGCAATTCCAGTATGTCTGATGGAGCACCAGATGGACAAAGGGTTTTAAGAGAAAAGGGAGAGTCTAGCACAAGTACTAGTACGACAAGCGACGACTGTGATGAAAATTTCGGAGAAATTATCAAAAAGACAATGGTGGAAACTGTGTCCGCATAAGTATTAAAATCGTATTTATAAATATATTAATATATTAATATAAATGGTAGATATTACGCCCTATATGTTATTGAAACTTGTAAAGATTTATATAAAACGTAGAAATCTGTAAGATAACATTCGTGTTTTAATCAATGTTGTGAAAATCAAAATAGTAAACGGAACTGATCAAATAGATAAAAATAAATAAAGTTTCGGTTTTCAAATATTACATCTTATTGTCTATTGTGTTTCCATTTCTTTTTACAGTCATCCTGTTTGTGCTGTAAAGTGCCCTATGGATAATTTTCAACAAAATACAATTTTCCTAAAACACTTTTAAAACACATTTCATTCTTTTTTCAAAATTCAAATTTAGTAGATTTAGTATAATGGTTTAAAAACATCTTTTTATAAAAGTGTCTTCTAATTTTCGTATTTAAAAAAGACAAACTGAATAGGTACTTTGAAAACCCCCAATTACAAACCAAACGACTACTTTTTATGGTGACTTCGATTACGAAACAAGCATTTCAATACGACATTAATCGTAAAATCAAAAGATGGGCTTTTTTGTAATTGGGCAGAACATTAACAAAATTAAAAATACGAAAATGATTTTATTATTATAAAACTAGACCGACGTTTCGCTTCTAGCTTGACATATTTTCAAGGTAGGTTATTAAAGTCACAATATACTGCTAGCAAACCGTCCAGGTGTATACATTTTAAAACCCCACTTTGAAAAATCTCAATCTGAAGGCGAAACATCGATGAAGGTTTCATTTTAATAAATATTTTTTCGTCTCTAATCAATTCTGATTACATTCATTCTGTAGCGGAAAGACGAGTATTAATATTACAAATACTTCAATACTTTCAAGAGATGACTTGATTATTTTAATTACCATACAAAGCAAAACTTAAAATATGTTAAAATACGAACAAGTAATTAAATTTATTTAGGCAACAGAGCAATTTCAGTGGAACTTGACTTACACTTAATATTGAAAAAGTATAATATAGAAAATAATAATAATATAATGTAGAAAAGGGCAATTTTGGTTACTTTCATTTGTTAAATTAAACTCAAGATGCACAGGTAATTGAAAATAATAAATCATTCAATTTTATTTTTATACAAGAAAACTGAATTTATCAATTATACCAAAAGTATTTAAAGGTACCCCGAGTAAAATTTATTCATTTCACTCTACCGAATTACGACCGAACTAGCTACATCAATTTCTTTAAATATTACCGGAAAAGGTCCGTTTGCAGGACTAAACCGCCAATTGTGTACGAAAGGAGTACTGAAACAGTACCGCATTTAGTACGAAAAATACACGGATACAGCACCGATTGCTTTCCTACTGAAATACCACCGAAAAAGCGACGCATTTATAATAAAAAAGCGCCGAAACAGCACTAAAGAGATACTAAACTTTTTGATTTTGTATGTGATGCTGTTTTGGTGCTATAATAGTATGTTTTTTGGCGAGGCGCTGTGTGAGGGCTCTTTCGGATCTTTTTTAATGTGGTGCTAGTTTGGAGTTGTTTTAGAGTTTCAAAAGGTAGCGTTTTGGCTATAATTTTAGAATTTAAATTTTCGTCTAATTTGTATAGGAACTATTTCGGTAGTAATTTAGATCATTTCAGATATTTGGAGGGGATTCGGTGGTGTTATAATTCCTTTTATCTTTACTCGGGTACACAACACATTTTCTGTAACATTTTCTTGATTATCGTTTAATGTTACAGTATTCTTCACAGAGCTTTTAGTAAGCTGACGCGCCTTCTAGCTCTGTAATTGTTTAATAGCTTATTTGTAACGCATAAAATACAGATTAATCAGTTGAGTAAGTCAATTTTATTAAAAAAAATCATGTTTAAACCCCTGCTTCAAAAACTCGATGGAATGAGAATAATTCTCGCGACGAGTTCAAAACAGCGAACTAAAGTATTACAGGATACGGTAAGAACAACATTCATTTTTACTTATACTATTATTAAAAGTAATTATCGAACTCAATTTAATGAATTGCGTCAGCAAAACGTAACCTTGATCCAGCCAAACAATAGTAAAGCGCATTTTAGAATACATGATTCGATCCATTTCGTCATAAATACGTACCTACCATTTGAGTACCCATTAGTTTTATTAATATCTTTATACCAGCAGATGGCAGGGATTGTACCGATTTTGTATATTTATATATAAAGTCAAATCAATATACTCTTTTTTCATTCGTATTGTACTTATTTTTCAAATTAAATTTTACATAAAAAAGACATATCCCCACAAAGAATTGTGTTGTACATTCTATGCATTACCATGTCATCGTCAGATGAACTTTTATTTGTTTTGTAATGTGTTTAAAGCAATTTCATCGAATTTTGATATCTTAAATAAAGCCAATTAAATCTTTTATAATAATAAAGGTAAATGTGTTTTATAGGGGCTAAAATTTGAAATCGTTCCATCAAATTTTAAAGAAGATTTAAATCCCAGCGAATTCTCCATTTCTGATTTTGTTGAACAAACCGCGTTGGGAAAAGTTCGAGATGTCTATGAAAAGCTCAAGCTCGAAATTCCAAAACCTGACATTATAATTGGAGTAGATACAGTAATATCGTTTAATGGAAAAGTTTATGGAAAACCAAAAGGCAGAGAGGATGCACTTGACCTAGTAACAAAGTACTTTTTGTTATAAACCAATATTTATTGTTATAAATAAATAATTTATACAGAATATTAACGAAATAACTACAACCATCTACATGTTTAACGAGTTGAATACCTTTCAAAATGTTTCTTTATTAAATAAGGAGTTTTTTATAAATTAGGAACATGTTCCTTAAAAATATTAATTTCAATTAGATAATTTCACATAGGTAAAAGATTTAGGAATCTAATACGTGATTAACTTATTATTAAGTTCAATTATTCATTACCCCATATGATTTTCTTGAATGATCTACCTTTATATGTTAATTATGTCAGTAAAACGTTTTATCAGAAATTAACTACTTTTCAATACTTTCAGACTGACTACCATAAATATACCTCACATGGTTTACTCAGGTGTGGTAATTTTTTATCGGGATAATTTCTTCAAATTTACAGAAGTAACAACAGTATATATGGGAAGACTTTCAGAACAGGAAATTGAAGCCTACATTAATACTGGAGAGCCTTAGTAAGGATATTTTTCAATTTAAAACTGCAATCGATCATCATCATAAGGTCGTCAGTCCTAAGACTAGTTGGACACGCACTTCCACTCCTTCCTATCCTGAGCTAATATTTTTCCCTCAAACTATAACATCCTACATCCTAAACTATTTGCGAACAGTAATCTAATCTAGGTCTACCTCTACTCCTCCTACCTCTTGTTTCTGCCACTAATATGTCTCTGACTAAACCTTCATGCCTGAGGTGTCCTACAAACTTATTTCGCCTATTCCTTATTGACTTTCGTTGAGTCTTCTATTCTATTTTCTCTAATACCTCTTCATTTCTAATCTTCTCTATCCACGGTATCCTCATAATTCGCCGGTAACACTACATTTCGAACGTTTCTAACATTTTCTTTTCCGTTGCGTCCACCATCTATGTTTCGCACACGTACAGTGCCGCGCTCCAAACATACCCCTATAACACTCTTTTTCGAATTTCTAAATTAACCACTCGGGAGCATAGAAGTGGCTTCTTTTTATTGAAGGCGACTCGACCCTGCGCTACCCTCTGCTTTATATCCTTACTACCCCTTCCGTCCTGACTTGTCTAAACTCCTAGATACCTAAAATTAGCCACTTCTTTTAATTTTTCGTCTCATCTCTATATTCGCTCTTTCCTTACTTTTTCTTTCCTTGTATATTAGTATTTTAGTTTTACTATTATTTATTTTCATAAAGTACTCTTTTGTCAATACCGCTTCCATTGTATTTAAAGCTATCTCTAACTCCTCCTTTGCTAGATGCTAATACTATTATATCATTTGCAAATCTAAGTATGCTAATCTTTTGCCCCTGTATATCTATCCCTACAATTATAATGTCTTTAGTGATGTTAATCGCGTCTTCGATGTATAGATTAAAAAGTAGCGGTGACAGTGTGCATCCCTGTCTAACTCCCTTCCTAATATTTACTTCTCTACGTTACTACTCCAGCTCTGTATCACTTTTCTATCTTTGTAACTCATCCTTCCATTTTTAAGTATATTTAACATCTTATCCCATTTAACATTGTCAAAAACTTTTTCTAAATCTACAAATCCCATGTACGCACTTTTTCGTTTTTCTGTCGTTTTCTTACCCGTAAAGCTAGAATGGCCTCCCGCGTTCCTCTATTTCTTCTAAACCCAAATTGATCTTCCCCAAATAGTTCTTCCGCCCTTTTTTCCATCCTCCTTTTAGTTAAGATTTTTGACACATGGGAAGTTATAAGTATGGCCTGCGTATAGGTTCTCTAAATATTCTTTCCACCTGCCTGCATTTTCCTCATTTTCTATCATAATGACCCCTACCTCGTTTCTTATATTATTACTGCTGTATTCTGCTGCTCAAAATTTCCTTTTAATTATATTATAAGTCTCATCTTCTTCAAACTTTTCTTCTACTTTTTTTACAGATCACTATTACTAAAATTGTTTTTCAGTGGGAAAGCTGGCGGCTACGCAATCCAAGGACTGGGGAGCTCTTTTGTTGAAAGAATTGACGGTGATTACAATAACGTTATCGGATTGCCTCTCTATAGATTGACGCAGAAATTGAAAGAAATCATGGAAGTTTAACTTTTTTACGTAACATGTAAATTGTAAATAAATAAAAGTACCACAGTTTTTAATTACTTTTCCTATTACTTAGAATGCGGAACAGTCTGCATCTTTTTCTCTGACGATGACGTTCTGTTGACAGGGTTTGATAGGCTTCAACCGGAAATTTCATACACAGAGCAGTAATTTGTACTCACTATTTAATTGCTTCTCTAAAGTATGTTTAAAAAGAATCATTTGTATAATTGTGTCGTCTGGTGTAAGCATTTACCAATCTTGTTACAACTTGGTTTATTTAAAAGCAATTTGACTACATCGAGCTAGCGACTAATTTTAGAATTTTAGTAAACTGCGCCAAAAATGAAAGCATGTGGTTATTTTAATGGGACGAGTTAGAAGGCAGAATTGATCAGGCTACTGTTGTATCTTAAAATTAATAGACGTTTTTAAGTATCTAAATCCTTACTAAACTTGTTATTTCATGAACCAAAACGCTATATTCCCTGCCGGTTATTAAATGGCAGTCACTCTTTCGACTCGGGTGGTAGTTTTCAAGCGACAAATATTAAATTACTTTTTTCCCTTGGTATGTAATTTTACCATTGTGTACAGGGTAACTCCGCTAATGCCGGTCCCAAGCCCGGATGAAAAAGGAGGAGGGGGTGGATTGACAACCTCCAAAAAAAAGCCGAGTCCGAATTTTAAGTCGCGTATCATATCAAATGCAATTTTGAAAACGTCAAATAGGAATACAACATTTGAACTAGTAAAACTTGTAACTTAAATGAAGGACAAATTGACATCGAAATAGTACGCGTGTATGGTAAAATTGTTTATAAAATGCGTTGAATGAATGTAAAATGTTATGATAATGTAATCCATGAAGTTTTCTCCTGGTGCGAGATCGAATATAGTAAGAAGTTGACTTCTACAGTAAAAGGTTACCCCATTCACACCTTATACCCTATATGTTAATTCAAGCATTTTAAATGGCGAAAAATGTTTTATTTATTATATTAATCGCACCGACATTTCGTTTTATGGTGTTAAAGCTTCTTCTAAGATATTTGACCTGTATAATCTACCCTAAAGAAGCTTTAACACCAAAAAGCGAAACGTCGGTTTGGTTGTATATTAAATAACACATTTTCACCCCTTAAATTGCTTGAATTGGCTATTAATAAATATTAGGAGAGGAAATACGAAGATGAGTAGATACAAATGTTTCCATTACTTCGAAATGAAAATAGGTATATAAGGTAATTTGGAAATTTTAAGAAAAAGTAAATTAAATTGAAAACAAGACGTGTGGGATTTGTTTTCTTTTCCTTATTTTGTAATATGGCCAACGAACTCGTTCACCTTTATCAAAATTACTTGACGGATTAAAACAACATTAAAAGCAATTATACAATTTCATCTTTTAAGAAGAACCAGGGATTTTTTTGTTTTATTAGTCCTGTAAATTTTGGAAACATTACCTAATTGCTTCTAAAAGTTTCCTATAAATAGTTTCTAATTTTTCACTATTTTTAAAGAAAGCATATATGATAACGACGGAGGAACATGTCATGAACGTGAGTGAACATATGTAACAGTTCTCCCTTAGGGGCGCAGAACCCTTAAACGATATTACAAACAACCAATTTTCAAATATCAAATTCAATCCGTCGCTAAACATTAAGTGAATGGTAATTTACAATTACTTGCTGTTTATATACAAAGACAAATAAATAATAACTGAATTAAAGCAATTAATAGACAATTTCAAAACTAAATATTTCGTACGTATTACTAGAATTCAAAATATAGATCAGTATAATAAATGCTTTACTGATTAATCCAACTATGATGTAATTAGCATTTTATTCTTCAGAACGTGTAGTTACATAATAGGTTTCACAATATTAAAAGTAAAGTGACGTATCAAGGGAATTATAGGACTGTAAACTTTATTAAGTTTCTGAGAACATTTAAGTAATTTTTGGGATAAGTGTTGGATTTCCATTTACATCCTATTAGATACAAACGAGAATGAAACGTTCGTATATCCTTAAAATGTTTATAATCTGCAGAATGCTGACCTTGAAGTGAACTTAACAAACGTAGTAATCGCTTTATACTTAGAGGTTCAGTGTACACTTGCCTTTTGATATGTCCATTATTTTTACGTACTATTGCACGGAAGAAAAATCGGTTTGGAGATCTAAAATCGTAAATTTAATAAAACTATTGCCAATTCTTCAATTTCATTCAATGCGTTCATTATATAGAATTTATCAGAAATTA